GGCGGAGGTCGCTTTCCTCGTCCGAGGCGTCCGATTCTGCGGAGCAGGGGTACTCACCAGCGGGGGGGGAGGGGGGGGGGCGGTGCGGGGCCCGGGCCGGCGCGGGGGCCCGAACCGGAGCGGGGCCCGGAGGGGCTGCCGGGGGTGGGCGACCGCAGTTGAGGGGGGGAATGAGTATTCGGTATGCGGGTTCGCTCGCGACGGGGGGCAACCCGGGGGGCGGCCGGCCGGGGGGAGGGGGGGGGGGGCACATAGGAGGACTCTTCAGAGGCCACACCGCCGGCGCCCCTGGCGAGTTGGGGCAGCACAGCATTTTTCTTGCAAGCGTAAACTCCCCTGTCGTCAGCCGGTTCCTCCCCCCACCGACCGACGCCTCTTTACGCCCACCCCGCTTCCCCCTCCCTCTCTCCCCCCTTTGCCCGACTCTCCCCCCCCGGCTCGCCCGCTGAGGTACTTCCCCCCCCCCCTCCCCCCTTGTCGTCTGTGCATTCGCCCGTGTTCGTTTGCTCGCCTGCCACTGTGTCTTTTCTTTTTGCAGCCCGACCGCATTGCGCCGCGTGCTGCTTGCCTGCTCCCCGCGCCCCTCCCCTCGCCCTCCTTTGCTCGTGCGCCACACCCGTCTCGACACTCTCCCTCCCTTGTGTGTCGGGATATGGGCACCGCGCGCGTCTCCGTCCTTTCTCCTCCTCTTCCTGCTCCGGGCCTTTTGCGATGACACGCTGTTCATCGCTGTGCTCGTGTGTGTGTGTGTGGTGAGACGCGCGCGCATGCATGCCTATCGCCAGCCAGTGCCCCGGGCGCGCCACCGCCTCTGGTCATGCCTCCCTCGTCTTCCGGAAGGCGGGCAGGGGGACGGCCAGCGGCTGGTTGCGGTCGGCCGGCCAGCCGGCCGGCCTCGATAGCATGTTGCGCGCGCGCGCGCGCGTGCCCACCGCCACTTCACCAGAGGGGGCCTCGCACCTCCGACTGGGGCTCTCAGCCTCTCGACCCTCGCCTCGTTCTGACCGTTCCGTCCTCCTCTCTCTGCTCTCGGTCTTCCCCGTCCGCGGCCCGGGCCGGCATGTCTCCCGCTCGTCGGCTCCCACGTCCGCACCCCGCCCCCCCCCAGTTCCCAGTCGCCAACATGTCCACCGACGAGTTTGCCCCCCAGATGACCGAGGGCTACAAGACCCCCAAGGCCGTCACTCTGTCCGAGCTTCAGGACCTCGACAAGGAGGATGAGGCCATGAACAAGTGGAAGGCCTCCCTCGTCAAGGAGACCTACGGTGCGTGTTGGCCTTGTGCCTGACCAATGGTGTGGCTCTCTGCCCATGCTCGCACCTCCCCCTTGTCCTCTGAGCTCGCATGCTTCGCTTGCTCTCGGAGACGTGTGCATCGTGTGTTTGTGTTTGCGTGCATATGTGGAGGTGCACCAGGTGTGGTGCTACCTCCTCCCACCAAGCCAAGCGCATATCCCCAATTGGCCATGTGTTTGTCTCTGTCTTCCTGTCCTTTCCCATCTAACACGCGCGCTCATGTGCTCTCCTCTCTGCCAACCGACCCGCGCAGCTCCCGCCGACGATCCTCGCCGCGTGGTTGTCCTCTCCATGACTCTGTCTTCCCCGGACCGCCCGGACATCACCCTCGAGCTCAACTCCAGCGGTAAGTGCTGCCTGCTGCGTTCCGGCCTTCTGCTGTTATTGCTGTCCACTCGCAAAGCACCGCCACTCACTTTCCTCTGTCTTCCCTCCTCCGCACTCCCCTTCCATCGCCCGGTGTGTCCTCTCTCTCTCTCTCTCTCTCTCGTTCTCTCTCTCCTCCGGGCCACCTGCAGAGAAGGTCCAGGAGCTGAAGAAGCTCAAGACCATCATCAAGGAGGGCTCCACCTACCGCATCTCGGTCAACTTCCGCGTCCAGCACGAGATCGTCACCGGTCTCAAGTTCCTGCACGTCATCAAGCGCAAGGGCATCACTGGTGCGTCATACATTGTGCCCCTGGGGCTGCCCCGTCCTTCACTCCATCCGCCCATCCATCTCCCCCCCCCGCCCACTGCCCTGTGCATGTCTCCGTCTCTCCCTCCCTCCCTCCCTCCCTCCCTCTCTCTCTCTCCCGCCTGCGGGGAGGCAGCCAATCTGCTGCCTTTGTCGCCGGCCAGCGGGCCTCCTTCTTCCGCTCTTTTCCCCGCCTCTCTCATTATCCTCCTCACTCACCCCCTCATCGGCCCCTCGCTTCTCTCTCTCTCTCCCCCCCCCTTCTCGCTCTCTCCTCACCCTCTCCTGGCATTGGCACTCTCGCAGTCGAGAAGATCCAGGAGATGATTGGCTCGTACGCTCCCCAGCTTGAGCCCCACACCAAGTCCTTCCACCCCGAGGAGGCCCCCTCCGGCATGATGTTCCGCGGTAACTACGTCGGTCATGCCAAGTTCACCGATGATGATGGCAACATCTACCTCGAGTGGGAGTGGCCCTTCGAGATCAAGAAGGAGTGGGAGTAAATCTTCTCGCCTCTTCCCTCTTCCTGTCTCCATCTCGTCCGCGCCTGCGCATGTGCGCATGCGAGCGCGTTCCCCCTCTGCACCTCTCGCCTAGAGACCCCGGTCGGCGGGTGTGTTCGCGTGTGTGCATCGCCCTCCGTACCATGCGTCTATATGCAGGTGTGGCGCGTTGTCGGGAGGGAGGCGGGGGGTGGGGGCGGACGGGCGCTCCCATGTGCGTATGTTCACCCTCCCCCTGACTGGTAGCAGCAGCAGCAGCATTGTCCAGTGCACCGGGTGGATGTATCCTGGGGGATAGCCGTGTATGTGGGTGTGTGTGTGTGTGTGTGGGTGTGTATATGTGTTGTGTGTGGCTCATGCGCCGCGCCCTCATGATCGCCTCTCTCTATTTCTTTCTCCCCCTCTCTCCCCCCTTCACCCAGCACCACCCCTTCATCACAGCGCCGCCCTCCCCTCTCCCCCCTTCTCTCCCCTCCCAGCCAAAACGCCACTCTGTCCCATGTCACATCCCTTGATCGATGGCTCGATTGTACTCCAGTATTGTACTCCCTGATATTGCCTTCTCTTCCCTTCCCCCCTCCCCTCCCC